CATGGCACTCTACCCAGGGGGATAGCTTGAGGCTCCATCTCAAAAAAAAAAAAAAAAAGAAAAAATAAGACGTATCCAAAAAATAAGCCCTAGCAGGATTTCTATACATTTGTTAAATATAAGCCTACCCCAATAATAAGACCTAGTGATGCATTTCTGTGCGAAGCGGTAAGGAAGACTGGAATACCTTTTATTTGCCAATAGCTCCTTTCTCTGAGCCATTTGCACTTGCACGGGTGTGCATGTGGTAACCACAGTCGCAGGCATCCTATTGCACATGTCTGTATGGGAGTTAACTCATTACTAGTGCCACAGCCCCACCAACAAGGTCGACTCCCTCTGTCAGGTTCCAGAAGAAGATGACTTAACTGTATTTGAATAAATGTAGATTGTTGTATTATATTAATAAAAATAAGACATCCCCTGAAAATAAGCCCTAGTGTGTCTTCACACGGTAGATAGCCTCCCTATAGACATGTAACACAGCACCTGGTTAATTTTAAAAAATATTTTTGTAGAGATAGAGCCTCATTGTGTTGCCCACACTGGTCTTGAACTTCTGACTACAAGCATTCCTCTCGCCTTGGCCTCCGAACGAACGGGCCCACGCTGGGGATTTGAACCCGCCACCTTAGGTGTATGTGGCTGGTGCCTTAGCCACTTGAGCCACAGGCACTGAGCCCAAAGTCTACTTTAAAAACAACCCAGGCTGGGTGTGGTGGCTCACGCCTGTAATCCTAACACTCTGAGAAGTGGAGGCAGTGGATTGCCTGAGCACACGGGTTTGAGACCAATCTGAGCAAGAGCAAGACCCCGTCTTTAAAAATATGCAGGCGTGGGCAGTGCCTGTGGCCCAGTGAGTAGGGTGCCGGCCCCATATACTGAGGGTGGTGGGTTCAAACCTAGCCCCGGCTGAACTGCAACAACAACAAAAAAATAGCCAGGCGTCGTGGCAGGCGCCTATAGTCCCAGCTACTGGGGAGGCTGGGGCAAGAGAATCGCCTACACCCAGGAACTGGAGGTTGTTGTGAGCCGTGTCACTACAGCACTCCACTGAGGATGATAAAGTGAGACTCTGTCTCTACAAAAAAAATAGCCAGGCATTGTGGCACCTGCCTATAGTCCCAGGCTGAGACAAGAGAATCCCTTGAGCCCAAGAGGTTGAGGTTGCTGTGAGCTATGAGATCACAGCACTCTACGAGTGACAAAGTGAGTAGGGCGCCAGCCATGTACATTGAAGCTGGTGGGTGGTGGGTTTGAGCCCTTCCTGGGCCTGCTAAACAACAAAGACACCTGCAACCAAAAAATAGCCGGGTGTTGTGGCAGGCACCTATAGTCCTAGCCACTCAGGAGGCTGAGGCAAGAGAATCGCTTAAGCCCAGGAGTTTGTGGTTGCTGTGAGCTGTGATGCTACGGCACTCTACCGAGAGTGACATAGTGAGACTCTGTCTCAAAAAAAACAAAAAACAAAAAAACAGCTTGGCGCCTGTGGCTCAAGTGGCTAGGGCGCCAGCCATATAACACCTAAGGTGGTGGGTTTGAATCCAGCCTAGGCCCACCAAACAACAATGATGGCTGCAACCAAAAAAATTAGCAGGCGCCTGTGGTCCCAGCTACTTGGGAGGCGGAGGCAGAAGACTCACTTGAGCCCAGGAGTTGGAGGTTGCTGTGAGCTGTGTCATGCCACAGCCTTCTACCCAGGAGGACAGCTTGAGGCTCTGTCTCAAAAAAACAAACAAACAAAAAAACAACCTAGCAATCTTTATTATTTCGCCATGCCTGTGGGTCAGGATTCTTCGTGTAGTTTAACTGGATCTTCTGGCTCTGGATCTTCTCAATCCTTGACTGGGAAGGATCTTCTTCTTAGGTCATTCATAAGACTCTTGGCACAGTTCAGTTCTTTTGGCTCATTGGATAAAGACCTCA